ACCCTCCTCATCCACCCACACCCTCCTCATCCACCCACCCGTCCATCCCCTCTTCCTCCATACAGCCATTCATTCATGTATTTACCCATCCATCCCCCTCCTCATCCGACCCCCCATCCACCCATCCACCCATTTATCTGACCACCCAACCATCCATCCCTACATTCCTATACCCATCCACCCATCCATCCATCCATCCACCCATCCATCCATCCTTCTTTAAATCCATCCACCCACCCATTCATCCACCCATCCCCCATTCCCCCATTCATCCACCGACCCACCCACCCACCGACCCGCCCATCTACCCACCCACCTACCCACTCATTCATCCACTTATCCATTCATCCATTTATTCATCCACTAAGCCATCCACCCAGCCGCCCATCCACCATCTATCCAGAAGGTGAGACGTATGATTCTGACTGTCATGGCTACTGTTCTCACCCACCTGCACATCCATGCACCCACCCCTTCATTAGTTCACTTATCCAACCGTTTACTTATTCATTCATTCATTCATTCATTCGTTCATTCGTTCATTCGTTCATTTATTGGCGGCTGGCTGGTATAGGGATCTGAACCCATGACCTCCGGGTTATAAGACTGCTCTGTAACTAACTGAGCTAACCAGCCAGCCCAACCATTCATTTATTCACCTACTAAGCCATCCACCCAGCCGCCCATCCACCTGTCTGCTAGTCCTTTGTCTCCTTCTTCATTATCTCCTTCCTTAGCCGTCACTCTCCTGCAGATTCATTCATTTATCCGTCCGTCCATCCATCCACTCATCCCTTAATTGACTTGTCCATCCATCCATCCCATCCATCTGTCCAACCCCTCAGTCTGTTCAGGCAGCCAGGCCGCAGTGAAGCGCACAGACCACCGTTGCTACTACTACGGTGACCCTAGGCCAGTCACGTCTCTTTCTTGTGCCTCAGTTTCCCCATATGTGCAATGGGGACATCAGTGGGCCCTCCTTTGTTGAGCTTTGGGAGGAAGGTAAGACGTGAGAATGAAGCGCGACCCATGGGTAGGAGTGATTATGATTCTGATTGTCGTGGCTGCTATTCTCCCCCCCCCCACTTCCTCTGGGGAAGCTGGTGCCCAGAGAGGGACGGTGACTGGCTCAGGTCCCACAGCCTGGGTGACGGGCAGCACAGCCTGGGGGTAAGCCTTCCCAGAATGCGGAGCTCAGGCCCCCGTCTGTCCGCTGTCACCGTCAGGTGGTGGTGTCGCGCGTGGCCCGCGTGTGCAAGAACGACGTGGGTGGCTCCCCGCGCGTGCTGGAGAAGCAGTGGACGTCCTTCCTGAAGGCGCGGCTCAACTGCTCTGTGCCCGGGGACTCCCACTTCTACTTTAACGTGCTGCAGGCTGTCACTGGCGTGGTCAGCCTGGAGGGCCGGCCTGTGGTCCTTGCCGTCTTCTCCACCCCCAGCAACAGGTCAGTGGGCACCAACAGAAGCAAACAGGGGCTCTGAGGGGCATGGGCAGAGGTTCCATGTTCACCCATCAGATATTCTCCAGGCAAGATTAGACTCACGAGAGGCTTCAGCCCCCGGCTGGGGTGAGACCAAACAGACACCGGCCCTCCAAAGCCCTTTGGTCAGAACTGGGCAGGTGGGGGGACATCCTCATCCTCTGCCTTTGGGAGAAGAGGGCAAGGAGGGCTTCCTGGAGGAAGGGACATTGGAGCTAGGCTCTGGGTATGAGATGTGGGAGGAGGGAAGAGCATTCGAAGTTGGAGGAACAGCATATGCGAAGGTCCTGAGGCTGCAACAAGCTTGGTGTGTTTTAAGTAATAGTGAGGACACTCATGGGACTGGAGTGGAGGGGGCGGGGAGAGTGACGGATGCGAGGGCAGTGAGGGGATGGGACAGATCAGGCAAGGCTTCGTGGGCTGCGGGCAGGAGCTGGACTTCTTAACCTGAGAGCACTAGGGAGCCATGAGAGAGTGAGGGGAGGAGAGGAACAAGATCCGAGTTACATTTTTAGAAAGTCCCCTGGGGTCCGGCCCCGTGGTGCACTCGGGAGAGTGCAGCACTGGGAGCGTAGCGGCGCTCCCACCGCGGGTTCGGATCCTATATAGGAATGGCCGGGGCACTCAATGGCTGAGCGCAGTGCGGGCGACACCACACCAAGGGTTGCAATCCCCTTAACCGGTCATGAAAAAGACAAAAAAAAAAAAAAAAGTCCCTTGGGAAATGGGTTGAGATGGGGTAAAAGTGGCAGCTTGGAGACTGGACATCCAGACAAGGAACGAGGGGGACATGGACATGCGGGTGGCCTTGGAGGAGCTGAACTATGATCCAGGTGGAGAACTATACAGGAGGTGGCGCGACTGGATTTGGCAGCCGGGAGAGGGAGTCATCGCTGGCTCTGGAGACTGAGTGTCCAATGGCTCCCAAGGACAAGGACTCCTCCACACGCTTGCCTGAGGTGGCGCCCACCATCAGGCTCACCAGACTCTTTCATCTAAACACCCCCAGCATCCCTGGCTCAGCCGTCTGTGCCTTTGACATGACACAAGTGGCTGCCGTGTTTGAAGGCCGCTTCCGTGAGCAGAAGTCCTCTGATTCCATCTGGACGCCGGTGCCAGAGGATCAGGTGCCGCGGCCCCGGTGAGAGCCCCCTGCACCCTGGAACAGGTGCCCACATAGAGTCCTGGGGGCTGGGACTTCCAGATGGTTATTTAGCTGTTGCTGACTTTAGCTGTACCCATTACTCAGATGGGAGAAACTGAGGCTTTTGGGGTACAGAAGCAGGTTCCCTGCCTGGTGATTGGGGCCCCTTTGTGGGGACCCCCAAGTCCTCTCTGACCCCTGCTCATCCCCTGCAGGCCCGGGTGCTGTGCGTCTCCCGGCATGCAGTATAATGCCTCCAGCGCCTTGCCCGATGAGATCCTCAGCTTCATTAAGACCCACCCCCTGATGGACGAGGCGGTGCCCTCGCTGGGCCACGTGCCCTGGATCGTGCGGACCCTGATGCGGTCAGTCATGGGGGGGTAGGGGGTGGGGACGAGAGCCCAGGCAGGGTGGCAGGGAGGGAGGACTGGGCAGATTGGGAATGGGAGGGGAGGTGGGGCACAGTCCGGGCTGGAGGCACACGCTCATTACAGGGGGGCCTGTGGCTTCTGGAGCTACCCTGAGAGCTGGAGACCAAGAGAGAGACAGGTAGGGGGGAAGAGTCCGAGAGATAGACAGACGCACGCACATCAAGAGAGAGGGAGAGAGAGACACATACAAAGTGTCAGAAGGACACCAACACAAAGAGACACCCAAAGAGATGAAGAAAGAGGGATAGGCCCCAGTGAGGGTTTGGTTTGGGGGCCAGGTCCTCTCCTGTGTTTCTGGCGTGTGCCCACGTGCTTTGCATGTTTGATGGCATGTCAGTGTCCGTGTGTATCCAGGTAGCCACACCCACGCCCATGTTGGTGGTGCACTGTGGCCAGGGGATCCCTAAGGACCTAGGGGTCTGCCTGACCCCCACCTCACCCTGGCCTCTAGGTATCAGTTGACCCGAGTGGCTGTGGATGTGGGCGCTGGCCCCTGGGGCAACCAGACAGTCGTCTTCCTGGGTTCCGAGGCGGGCACCGTGCTCAAGTTCCTCGTCCAGCCCAATGCCAGCATCTCGGGGACTGCCAGTCCCAGTGTCTTCCTGGAGGAGTTTGAGACCTACCGCCCAGACAGGTGAGTTCGGGCAAAGGCGGGGAGGTGGGACCAGCAGGCTAAGAGGTGGGCGGGTGCCCTGAGCCCCACCACCTGCTAACCTCCAGGTGTGGACGCCCCGGTGGAGGTGGTGAGACGGGGCAGCGGCTGCTGAGCCTGGAGCTGGATGCGGCCTCGGGTGGCCTGCTGGCGGCCTTCCCCCGCTGCGTGGTCCGTGTGCCCGTGGCCCGCTGCCAGCAGTACTCGGGGTGTATGAAGTAAGTGGGTGCCCCCTGGCTGGGAAGCAAACGAGATGAGCACAGGGAGGACGGGAGAGCTGGGTTCAAGTCAGAGGCCCTGAGGGAACAGCACGTGCAAAGGCCCTGGGGCAGGACCGAGCCTGGCGTGTTGGAGTATCAACCAGGAGGCCCATGTGGCTGGAGCAGAGTGAGAAGGGGGATTGAGGGAGGAGGGGACGACAGGGAGGGAATGGAGCAGGTCATGCAGGGCCTGTGGGCTGCAGGGAGGACTTGGCTTTTATCCTGAGGAAGGTGGGAGCCATGGAGGACTGTGGGCAGAGGAGGGACAGGACCTGGCTCGGGTGCTCACGGGCGCCCTCTGGTGGCTGAACTAGGAAGGACAGACTGGGGGGTGGGGGCGGGAGCTGGAGGACTGGGGTGGAGGCATCTCCCTGTCTCTAAAACGAATAGGAGGAAAGGTCAGATGGGTGTGGAGTGCTGGCCTGACCCGGGGCTCGGTGCGAGCCCTCAGCGTGGAGAACCCCCGTACCCCCTTCTTCCACCGTCATTGCAACAATGACCCCAAAGCAAAGAGTCAAGGGCACAGACTCTGCTGCAGGCCTGCCTGGGCTCCAATCCCAGCTCTGCCACTTGGGCAAAGTGAACTTTCCTGAGCCTCAGTGTTCTTATCTGTAAAACGGGGAGTGAACAGTCCCCACCTCGAAGATTTGTCATGAGGACTCTGGCAGTTGCTCTCAGGGGAAGGTACCTGGGACACTGTCAGGGCTGCTGATTGACCCCACGGGGTCCCATGTCTGCTCTAGGAAGTGTATTGGCAGCCAGGACCCCTACTGCGGGTGGGCCCCGGACGGCTCCTGCATCTTCCTCAGCCCTGGCACCAGGTACTGGGGGAGAGGACAGTGTGGGAGGGCTTGTGTCTGATCCACCTGGTGACCCAGCTCCTTCCCCTAATCCCTCCTCCATTGGGAAGGGGGGTTTCTGCTGACCGTACCTCCCTCCCCCCATCAGAGTCAGCTTTGAGCAGGACGTGTCCGGGGCCAGCACCTCAGGCCTAGGGGACTGCACAGGTAAGTAGGGGGAGGGGAGGCAAACTGGAACACTCCGACCCTATCTCCCACCACCAAAGGGCAGAGGGAAGAGGCCTGGGGACCTGAATCCTGGTCCTCAAGGGTCCTCATGCCCTTTGCCACCCGTGCCCAGGTGGGTGGGGGGAGTGGCCTCCATCGGGGCTCTGGGAAGGAATGGGGTCACATTTCTGGGTAAGGAGGCAGATGAACAGGCAGACCCCAGGAGACAGATGCCAAGAGTCAGACAGATTCTAAACGGACAGAGAGACACTGTGAGGCAGACAGATGGACAAACTTTAAGAGGACAGACCCCAAAGGAACAGAGAGATGCTGAGAGATGGACAGACCAGCTTTGAAAGGGACAGACACATTACAAGGTGGACAGAGAGACAGACAAACGAAGAGAGGACAGGCAGATGCTGGGGACAGATACCAAGAGACAGACCGGCTTTGAAACGGACAGTGGGGCTGGCTGGTGAGCTCAGTGAGAGCGGGATGCTGATAACACCAGGGTCCGGGGTTCACATCCCTGTACCGGCCAGTCACCAAAAAAAACAAAACAAAAAGAAATGAGCAGAGACACACTACCAGACAGACAGACAAGAGGCCACACAAGCCCGAGGCGGCAGGAGGGGTGGACAGGGTGCCCCCGCCAGCTCCTCTCACCGGGTCCTCCCGGCCAGGGCTCCTGCGGGCCAGCCTCTCCGAGGAGCGTGCGGGGCTGGTGTCAGTGAACTTGCTGGTGACATCGTCGGTGGCGGCCTTCGTGGTGGGCGCCGTGGTGTCCGGCTTCAGCGTGGGCTGGTTCGTGGGCCTCCGGGAGCGGCGTGAGCTGGCCCGCCGCAAGGACAAGGAGGCCATCCTGGCCCACGGGGGTGCATAACTTCGACCAA